GACACCTACGAGTTCGCAATTCTCAGAGCCAACAAAAAGCCCCAAGTCTGCCGTATCCACTAATCCATTTGATAATCTGGATTCTGCTCCGTCGCTTGCAAGATCTAGCTATGCGGGTAGTCAGGCTGAACCGCAACGCCACAACGCCAATGGTGGCACATCCTACAATCCGTTTGATTCTCTATCGCAACCCGCTCCATCACAATCCACCTTGTCTTTAGACCAGTCCTTCCAACAACTCCAGGTGTCACAGCCTTTATTTCCAAATACTACAGGCGGATACCCGAGTCAACAAGGGCAGTTGCCGTTGCAGAGATATCAGCAATCTATGACACCCCCAGTTACCATGTTACCACAAAACGTGCTTACTGCATCGCCAATGCCCATGAACGGCAATTATAATCCATTCTTCCAAAATGATCAGGTTCCGCAGCAAAACACAACCAATAACTCCTATTTGGGCCAGTCACAAAGTCTTTCACCCACCAATCCATTTTTCAGTACGGCTGGTCAAATCCAAGTTCCTCAGTCGCAAATTCCTGCCTCGGCCTACAGCCCTGGTAATTCCAATCAAACCGAAATGCCGCAATTTCAACGTTTCAACACCATGCCAATCCTTCCCCTACGATCCCAATTCTCGCAGCAACAACAACAGCCGCAGCAGCAGCCTGTATCGCCTCCGCAACAACCGCAACAACCGCAGCAACAGTTCATCCAGCAAGACCATCAAGGACCCTATAATCCTTTCGCCACTTCAGCCGCCGCACCAATGCCATCCTACCAACCTCAATTCACCCCTGGGACGCAACAATTTCCCATCCCCCAACAAACGGGCAAAATCGACAAAACCAGCATTCTCGCGCTATACAATTTCTCTCAACCCCCACCCACAATCCCCGAACAACCCTTACAACAATCAACCCCTGATCTCACCACCTCCGACCCCACGCAACCCCAATTCCAAACCCAGCCCCCCACAGGCATCCCCGTACAACAACAGCAAAACCCTAGCTCACTCCTCAACCCCTCTCAGTCCACGGACAGGAACCCATATCACATCGTCCCTCCAAACCCCATCACAAATGGCATGGCCACTACATCTGTACCTTCCATGCCCCTTTCCCAAGCCGTCATGGGTGCGAAGTCGCAAATGGGAAATGCACCTGCGGGAGGTGGAGGGGCTGGAGGAGGTGGAGGAGGGGGTGGTGGAGTAGGAATTGCGCGGAGTGGAACTGGAAATCCGTTCCCTGCAAGATCGCATATGAGTCAGGCGAGTGTGGATATTGGCGGCATGCATAATGGTCGACATAGTCCGGATGTATTTGCGAGTTTGACTTCGAGGTATGTGCAGTGAAGAGGGGAGGTGAGGAGCCGGGGGGGAGGTAGCCTAGGAAAGGAAAGGAAATAAGTGGGGATTACTGGGGAGATAATTGGGTTTATAATTTATATGCATGTGTGTGTTTTCGTATATGTTCTTGTATTCTCTGTTTGTATTGTTTTTTAATGAAATTGAATTGATATTTTCTTTCTCTTTTTCTCTTTTATTTCTTGTATATATGGTTTTGGTTATTGTTATTATTTCTGCTTTTTTCTATTTTACTCTCAAACAATACAAAATCTATAGCTTTTACTCTATCTTTTCTGATCATTTTCATTTTCACTTGATCGAGGTTTGATTTCTTCTCCTTTCTTCTATTAATTTTCAGCTGATGTTTATTTCCTGATACCTCCAGATAAACCTTAAGCATTTTTCCCAGCTGATATATTTTTTCTAGTCTTACTAAATACTTATTGTATAATGTATTTCCCAAGTGAGCGCAACATCCAAGTGAGAACAACACCAATTCAAAATATCTTTTAATTTAACTACCCTTCCACTTCAACACACAATTATGCAACCAATTCACAATAAAAATGCTTCAGATTCTCTAGTAAGAGAGGGAAGATTTGAACTCATGATAAAAGCTTTTAAAAATTAAGAAATTGCTTCAATTCATGAAGCTGCTTGCTTATTTAATGTCTCTTATTCTACTTTAATCTATCAACTGAATGGCCAGAAATCAAGAATGAATTTACATGCAAATTCATACAAATTATCTTCTACTGAAGAAGATAAGCTAGTTGAATGGGTGCTGAATCAGATTAAACAAGGATTTCCCCTACAGCCAGCATTAATTGAGGATACAGCTATTTATCTTTTTATTATGTAGAATTCAACCACCTCCACTACCCTTTCTCTCTGCATTAGCAAGAACTGGGTATCAAATCTAACGGCACACCACCCAGAGCTCCAAAGCTGCTATTCCAAGTGCTATAATCATGAACAAACTAAGTGCAAAGATCAGTGGATTATATGTGATTAATTTAAAATCTTAAGAGATACAATTGCTAAGCATGGAATTTTGTCAGAAGATATGACTGATTTTGCTATGGGAGTTTATGTCACTACTAAGGTTATTACTAGTAGTGAGTGCTACAGCAGAGCAAAAACTTTGATAAAATTATTAAGATCTGTGAATATGAAAATGGTCAGTATCACTATTTATAAAAAAGCAATATCAGGATATATTCAACATAAATGAGATAGAAAAGCAAAAATACAAGAGATCTATACATCAAATTCAACAAGAAGTAGGAGGTTTAATTAATGAAGAAGCTCAAAGTCTTCTAGCTTCATTTGCATCATCTGCATCATCTGCAATATCTGTTGAACAGCTAGTTATTCAATCTTATGAGTTCTTATCATCTGCAGCTACTTTATGCTGATAAGCTCTACAATACTGCAGCAATTGTAATATTCTCAAATATACAAAATTAAAATATTCTCAACTGTTTGTAATTTAATTTAATTTAATTGAGTATTGTAGTATTGAGATAATTTAAATTAAAATCTAATGAGTTAAGCTTTGATGATTTTGATGTTTCATTTACTTGAGTATTGCACTCACTTGAGAAATATACTAGTTAAATTATTATCTGATTAGTAATTTTTTATAATCAAAATTGCTTAACTATATATAAATTATTTCTATTTTAATTTGTATAAAGTTTTTCATTTATTTTTCTTATATTTAATTTTTTTTAAAAAATTCTATAAAGAAATACTAAAGTTGTATTCAATAGTATATTTATTTTATATTATAAATTAAAATTTTTAATTCTAGGATCTGAGAGTTTTTATTCAGTATATAGAGTTTGAGACTTCTTATGATATATAAAATCTGACAGTCTTTATTCTCAATAAAAAAATCAGAAGAATTACGAATTGCATCGGGGGCGGCCAAGGTTCCATGGCCTTCCTCTTGTTGGTTCTGGTGTTGGCCTGTTTCAGGTTGGCGCTGCCTGTTCTGGTATAGCGTCTGGACCTAATACTGAATATACCTTAGTAGCCCCGCCATGGGTCAAAATGTTCAAGTTAAGAGAGGTTGCGGTGTACCTACCCAATCACCCGGAAGAACTGTTTGCTAACAAAAATTGTTAAGCATAGTTAGTTACCACCTCCAATTTCCACTTTTACTTCCTTCAGCAGCCAGCGGGTTGTGCATTGCAATCAATCGTACTATATTAAGCTGACCTGGAGTGTAATGTCAGCAACCTTTCAAGTGAAAAAAAAAAAAAAAAAAAAAAAAAAAAAAAAAAAACCAATTGCTTGGGGCGAAGATGGAAATAAAAGCAGGAATCAATCTGCGTCCTTGCTGGAAGACTTGTAGATGCCCTCTCAACCGCATAGTTAACCCAATAGGCGACTTGGACTCCTATCCAATCTAATCCATATATGACCAGTGGTGCCTTCATACCTTCTCAACAGTTTTATGCTCCAAGGCGGGGCAGCTTTGTGAACAGATCCCATACTGATGATCCCTAATTTTTGACGGAAGAAATAATAATATAACTATTCGATTCAAGCTTCAATAACATGGTGATTGAGCTGCACCACTGCTCGTCCAAAGTGACTTCAAATCATCATGTCATTCTTCAAGGCTCCAGATAAGCACAGAGCTGATATCATGACCACTTGACTCACAGTCTTTCTGAAAGTAATACCGCAACAGTTCAGCAACTGAATGTCTTGCAGAACTGACAATATATCATCAAAGTGCAGTGGTTTCTTAGAGCTGCTTCCGTGACCTTCATTTCCGTGTAAATTAGTTTCTAATTAATCCTTCAAGAGTATTGGAGTCTCATACCACTTTATGCCTGTTGAAGGATAACTACATGAACAACAGACTAAGATTGGCCCATGAAACTGTATTTTGAAACTCTTGTCAGAATTCAGTCATCACAGATTTATTTAGATCTGCCAGGGACTTTCAAAGGTCCCTATCATCATCTCCACTGAATGTTTCGTCGTGAAAAGGGCGGCTTCATTGGTTCTTGATCCACGTAAACTTGCGCTTAATGCTGGTTCACAACTCTTGAAAGCAAGAGAAGCTACAAGTAATGAAATACTTGCATCGAGTACAATGGTCACACCGGTTTTGCCAGCTCGCGAACCTAGACATGGGCTCCAGAGTCTATGCTTGAAAACAAAACCTCAAGAGAGTTGCGTTGTCAAGCTGATTTTCATACCTTCTATTCACGTACATTAGATTAGCCATCTTCTTGCTAGTTCTTCTGGCGACCAACCACCTTCGTTCCATTCCCAACACCCTTGATGTTGAAAATTGCCATGTAAGAAGTGAAACGTCATTAAACAACAATCTAGAAATGGAAGTTCAACCTCAATCAAAAAGAAAAGTCTGAGATGAAAAATGAATAGGAATGAGGACAAAATAGACAAAATCAAATACTTGAACCGAAAAGTATATGGATGTGAGCTGAAAAAGAAAATACCCAAAAGGTATATATAGATACATGCTCATACAAGCCCCAACCACTCAAACTACTCAAACCCCTACCACATTCAAGACCAAAGCCACCTGTCTGACCTTGCTCTCGACCTCCTAACCAACCCATCCCAATCGGGCACCCACGGCGACTCCGTCATCCACGCCGGCCACCTAGTCCGCCTCCTCCTCCACCTCCACGACCACGGCCACGACCAGGTCAACTGCCACCTTCTGGCCTTCCGCTGCAGGGACGAGATAGAAGGCCGCGACCAGGACCAGGACACCTGCCACCACTTCCTGGACCTAGATGACGAGGGGAGAGGTGGAAAAGATGAGAAGGGCCATTTCCAAAAGAGTGATGATGGCGATGATGACGACGGCCACCAGGAGGACATGCAGGACGATAAAGACGGGATGAACGAGTTCCAACCCACCCCCGTTCCCCGCCGGGATCCTAACCATGAGGACCCCCGCGTCGCCTCCCGACGAAACCCATCGATTATCTTATCCAGTTGTCTTTCGCGCTCCACTATGCCCTGTTGCCAGTTAGCCTCGTATTGGTGGCGCGTGTGCTCGCGCCAGTCGCGCTGGATCGTTAGGTCTAGGCACCAGACAACGATGTCACCTTTGCGTCTCCAGTCGTCGTGCCAAGCTGTGTTCCAGGTGCGGTAGCATTCTGAGTAGGATGAACTGTGCATGGCGGTGAGGAGGGTGGGTTCCAGTTGGGAGAAGAAGATGAGGTAGTCGGGCCAGGTATGGTTGCAGGTAGTTGTATTAGTGGTGATGGGGGATAGTGAGGGTGTGGGTGGCTGGTTGGTTAGCTTGTAGGAGGGTTTTCGGGGGAAGTCTCGTAATCCCCCTTTCATATTTTTTTGGAGGAAAGCAAGGGGATCGGCGTAAAATTGATCTGCTTCATCGAGGTAATCGGCCTTTTCGACTGAGTTGAGGTTTACTGGTGGTTCACATGACAGAGCCCATGCTTGGATGCCAGGGAAGACAAGATGGGAGCGCCAGGGGGTGCTATGGCATGGCATGAGGAAGCCAACCGTCATCACTGCCGGGATTAGGGAAGAAAGAGCAAGGGCTGATCGGGATTCTAGCTTGGTGGGGCTCTTAGTCAAATAGTGACTTTCGTATTGGGCACGGAGATAATCCATGATCTTGAGTATGCCGGAAGCGTGAGACGCAGTTGTATAGTAGGAAATACAAACGTTCACAAGAACGAGGAATATTAACAAGAGGCGACGGGGGAAATTTGAGGGCGAACTGGAGGATATGGCGGGTAGAAAGTATCTCACCAACGGCGGGGAGGTAAGGATTATTAGGGATGGGAGGAGTGGATAAATAAAGCGAACTTCCTTATGGGATATTAGAGAAAGGACAGCAGGCATAAACGCACATACAAATGCGAGTTGGCGACTTATGGAATTCTGTTGACTGGTGTAACTTTTCTGGTTTCTGAATAAAGCTTGGAAAAGTCCGACTAAGGAGAACGGAAGAGCTGTCGTGAGGAGAAGTGGATAGCCTTGAGAGAGGTAGTAATGCCAGTCATTTCTTCCGTAAAATATGGCAAGGGATTGGGCGATATTGAAGTAGAGAAATTTAAAGGGGGGAAACGTCCAAGAGCCGTAAAAGGAACGATCCAGGAGTGTTGATATCCCAAGTACAACGGATCTAAAATGATGTTAATTTTATTTTTCACATCTCTATGTGACGGAGGAAACATACCCTGAGACTGCGGCTTTACATATAAAAGTTAAAAGTTCTTTGGTGGTCGGTCTGAGGAAGAGGGATGTCTTCGCTTGGTGGACTGACATGGGTGTCTTGAATATAGCGAAAGTTGCCAGACAAATCCAAATCAAGAGATTGGTTGGGCGTAGAATGCAAGCAAGAGCAGCGAGAAGAAGACATAACCGCAAGCTATACAACGGTTAGATTAAGTCAAAATATGAAAATGTCCGCACCATACCTAGAAAATGGCATTGGTCCATTTCGATGTGCAATGGAGCGGTTTCTTGTGACTTCATTTTTAACACCTGCTTCTTGGGAGGAGGGCGACTCCGATGGCCATTCCCACGGCCATAAATACAATGCGGCGATTGTAAGGGTTGTCTCAAGGCAGTTTGATAATGTTCGGGTTGAACAAAACCATTGCCAGGGACTCAGGGCGGCCAGAGCTAACTAAATAAAAAAAAAACAATCAGGGCCTAATATTCCATATACGATTATCCATAATTCGGTGTCACCGACAGCAGCCCAGGCCTCATAGCTGTAACTCCCATATATTTTGCCAGCCAGCTTCCAAGTATAAAAATCTCCAATGGCAGCGAAATACGCTTGTGTGAGTTTTGGAGCCACGACCAAGAGGTTTGCGCGGTTTAGCGGGGATATCCATATCGATTCAGATATTAAATTGGATAGATAATATATCGCAGCAAAAATATAAGGATGGATGGAAGATCGTAGGTGATGTTTCCATTCCTAAGTGAGAATGAATTTTTTATTTTATTTTATTTCTTGTCAGTCGCGGTAAATGCAGTCGAAAAGATCAGCGCAAATTCGTACCCAAGTTATCCAAGCACCACTGTCTTTGCCAAATGCTATTTGCCATGCTGGTTCCAGCGATTGGAAAAACTCATCTGGCTGGAAAAAAGTCCTGACGCAGAGCGCATTCAGAGCGCGGAATGCAATAAGGAAGAGAAGTATATTCTGTGGGGCAGCGGTATCTAATCGTCGCCGGGACTGTCTTGTCGTTGACTGGAGGGGTATGGAACTGAAACCATGCATGTCGTCTGGGTTGGAGGAAGCTTGCCTGGATGGTGTATAGGTTGTAGACGTAGTTGTAGTTCCGCATGTGTGTAGTGGGACTCGGCCGTGTTAGGTATGCAGAGTAAGATGCGGAGTCCGACCCTGGACAGCAAACTCAACGCTAGATGGTGCACCAGGATATCCCGAAGAGCCAGCCACTCTAGATACACATGGTAGGGAACTCCGTTGGGTTGGCCAACCTTCAACCTTCTTGTGGCTGCGGTGTCTTGTATCCAACAAACCCATAATGACGCCGTTAAATTTGCAGGTGACCTTGTTGCAAGCCCTAGCGGCACTAGCGCTAGTCTGTGACTTTTCCATGCATTTGTACCACCCTGCGGTAAACCCAGTACAGAGTGACTTCTTCTGTGGGGGAACCTGGCCCGGTTATGTAAGCTGGTCGTTTATTGTCGGGCCTCTCAACCTCCGCCCGGCAAGCATATATAAAGCGCGGCGTTGTCCAGCAGTTCAAAGGTTACGATTCCTAGTCTTTCCTGGGGAAAACACCTAAGCTTAACTGTAGATTAACCTTATTATATACCCTTCTGAATATTTTTAAGGCCCTTTTGGCTAATTACTTAGGTAGTTAACATTCCCCTACATCATCTTGACTTGTCTTCGGATCCCCCTTGATCCACTCTCCCAATACCAAGAGATCCCGCCTCCGCCCTCCACCAATCCAGCCTCTATACCCCCGCCACCAACAACATGTCCCCAATGGCTCCGAACCAAAGTCCTACGAGCCCTGCGCAGAGAAGCAAGACTGCCCAGACAGCAAATGCCTTGTCCGGACAGGCTACTCCTCTGGACCGTTCCCGCTTCCATGCCTCTTCAACCTCTGCCGCCATCACCGCAGAACATCAATATGCCGCCCACAACTACCACCCCTTGCCGATCGTCTTTGCCCGTGCCGCTGGCACAACTGTCTGGGATCCCGAAGGACGTTCCTACCTCGATTTCCTCTCCGCCTATTCCGCCGTCAACCAGGGTCACTGTCATCCGGAGTTGGTCAAGGTCTTGGTTGACCAAGCTTCAACCCTCACCTTGAGCTCCCGAGCTTTCCACAACGATGTTTTCCCCAAATTTGCGGAATTTGTCACAAAGTTTTTTGGCTTTGACATGGTCCTCCCCATGAACACGGGTGCAGAGGCTGTTGAAACAGGGATCAAAATTGCCCGGAAATGGGGTTACAAAGTCAAGGGCATCCCCCGAGACGAAGCTGTTGTATTAAGCGTGGAGAACAACTTCCATGGACGCACTGTCAGTTAACTAAAAATAGAGTCCGGGTTATTTTTTTTTTTTTTCTTTCTCCTTTTCATTCTCTCCATTCCCGGACACCCCTATTTCATTTAACTGACCGGAAGGGCAAAAATACAGTTTGCAGCGATCTCAATGTCCACTGACCCCGAATCAAGGGAGAACTATGGACCTTACTTGCCACTAATCGGCAGCACAGTTCCAGGCACTGATAAGCCGATTGTATTCAATGACAAAGCATCGCTTCGCGAAGCATTCGAAAAAGCAGGGCCGTCTATCGCAGCATTCCTTGTTGAGCCAATCCAGGGTGAGGCAGGCATTGTCGTGCCGGACGAGGACTATCTACAGGAAGCCAGAGCACTCTGCGATAAACACAATGCCCTCCTCATCTGCGACGAGATCCAGACTGGCATCGCCCGAACGGGGAAGCTGCTTTGCCATGAATGGAGCGGCATTAAACCCGACCTCGTCTTGCTGGGCAAGGCCATATCGGGCGGCATGTACCCTGTCTCCTGCGTCTTGGGCAGGAGAGAAGTCATGCTCACAATTGAGCCGGGAACGCATGGCTCTACCTATGGAGGCAACCCTCTCGGCTGCGCTGTCGCTATTCGCGCACTGGAACTTATCCGCGACGAAAAGATGTCGGAGCGTGCAGAAAAGCTTGGCCAGCAGTTCCGTGAGGGATTGGCTACGATAAATAGTCCCATAATCCAGACCATTCGTGGCAAAGGTTTGTTGAATGCCGTTGTCATCGACGAGTCTAAAACTGGCGGGCACTCCGCATGGGATCTCTGTATGTTGATGAAAGACAAGGGATTATTGGTGAGTGCTTTTTTTTTTCTCGATGTTTAGCGCAGTTGTATCTGTCTAATGTTTAATATTTGCGGTAGGCCAAACCGACTCACCAGAATATCATTCGCTTTGCGCCTCCTTTGGTGATTACAGAAGAAGAGTTGAAAACCGCATTGAAGATCATCGAGCAATCCGTCAAGGAGCTGCCAAAAATGAAGAGTGCATAGAGGGGAGAGAGTCCACCCCACCGTCATCTGAAACTTTTTTTTTTTTCAAGGAAAAAGCTGGTGCTCACTGCAACATATGTCTCATCTACTGTTTACAACCGGGGACAAAGTTTCTTCTCCTGCGTCTCTTATTATCCCAACCTGAAATTCCTTTTCCTTTTTTACTAGCAACTCAACTTCCTTGGTATATATTTCCCACTATGTAATCGTGCAATAAATGGCGTATGGCAGGCATAGGGCGGTTTCGGACCCGGGGGAGGGGGGTGTTGGCTGTTCTGTCTTCCATCAGTTTACAGAGGCAAAAGGGCTTTCTTGTTGCTATTGGGTTGTGGAGTGGTTCTTTTTCTGTTCCCCCTTCGTTATTAATCCTGTGCATGTACATGTATGTGATACACTCACTGTACACTACGGTTGATGCTCTATGGCTTGGGAGGTTGTTGGTTATTGCTTCTGCCTTTTTTGGATGACCATGAATATTCCAATCGAATGAAATTGGTATCATTTATGCAGGTGATAATGAATTTGATGATGAATGAGTGGGGAAAAAGAATCGGGGTAGCTTGCCCTTTTTTTTTTTCCCCTGCTTCCTCCGTTTTATCTTTGGGAAAATATCCCGTGCCGGTCCAATTATTTTCGTCTGTATTCCTTGACACCTTCACTACTCGTCATTAAAACTCTCACCAACAAATCAAGGAAAAGCAGCCAGTAGACTACTGTATATATACCACTTCTAGGAACACAAACCTCAACGGTCGGTACCGAACAGCCAGGAGTCATATTAGGGGAACGGGCGCACTTGTTCGGGAAGAAGGTTATTATCCCATTCGACCCCTAGGCCACTGTCTTGTGGCCCTTCTTCCCGTGCAGGGAGCTGAGACAACGGATTTTGCGGAGTATATATCCCCCTCCCGCTGCTCTTCCGGGACCTCTGCCCCATACGCCAAATGAGTGTGGTGCGTCATTTCTGAGTTTGATGACGTTCCAATGGAGATCTCCATTGATGACAGCAAGTGATTTCCTATCCCCTATCGCACGAGCCATCTCTCCTGATGCAGATCTCATCTGAATGGACTATCTCTTATCTGCCGTCGATGCCTTTGATGGCTACCATTATCATGGATAATGCTATGTGTGGCTTGCACGGCGATAAATGCCGCATCCTCGCAACTCAAGCACTGCACGTCCTCGGTCGATGCGACCATATTACACTGATGAATGACGGACGCATAGATTCCATCGATACTCTTTGATAACCAGACGACGATTTGGATGACGAGATCGACGATGAAAATGTTTGAAAGTCGGAAGAGAAGGCCAAGGGCGTCAAGCAAGAGTCGTCTCTAATGCAGCAAGAAGAACGGGCTGTTGATTCGGTGAGGTGGGGGTTTAGGAGAGCATACATTGCATCGTTCGGCCTAGTCATAAACTGCCCACCGATTGTCTTGTCTCTGTTCTTGGCGAGCAGGGCAACCATTGGGACAAGCCTGTGGCTTTCATACTGAACCTCGAACAAGATAGACCTGTCGCGGGACCAATATATTGCCATCTACGCTCGATTTTCTGGTTCTCGATTTGTGTTAATTTTGGCATTTTCGACAATTCTATCATTAAGCAGAACTAATGCTAGCAAAGCGATGCTTCACCAAGCTATGACACGGGTTTCGAGGGTGCCCCATGTCCTATTTTACTGCGCCAATGGGTCGTATTGCCAATCGATTTTCAGAGGATATTCAAACAATGGGCAACGAGCTGACCGATGCGATGCGAATATAGTACATAACCCTCTCGTTAATCATTTCCAAAACGATTCACAACATATATTTTTGACGGGGATACCATAATTGCAGAAGATGATAGAAGACCAACGAGACCAGAAAGGAATTATGCATGTATCAAAAAGGACAGGCAAAAGTAGGCATTTTGTGGTATTTCGATGATTTTGGCAATATACATGGAACCCCAAAAAAAAGGGGGTTGAGTCCAGTTTGGTGCCTCGACATGAGGGGAGATGATTCTGCTAGCCCTAACTGAGCGGCGTGCATGAGAGTATCACGGAAACCTCGCACAAACATGCTCTGATAGACATGCCCCTTCGGAAGGACAAGAGAGAGAAGAGACTTTGCACAACATGCAAAATGCCAAATGCAAGGGGAGAAAAAAAGAAAAGCCTAGAACAAATGTAACTTCTCTAAATTTCTACAGTTTTCCTGCAGATGGGATACCCCTCTGACAGAGAGTGGTCTCAAATTGAATATCTAGGATAGATGGAATTCGCTGACAGGAGTTGAGGAATAATTCTCATAGACTTGAGGGGGGGCGAACCTCTCTTGAGTTTCTATACTTTTAAACTTTCTTCATTTCTCGTTGTTCAAACTAAAAAAGCCCCTCTCTGTCCAATGGTAAGAGGTTTGTAGAGGTATGCATGCCGTGCTATACATCTCTCAACAGCGCGAGTCTTAGTATTGAATGGGGTTTGGATTCTTTGGATAGGCTTCTGTATGGGATGGGAAGAGAAGTCGGAGCAATAAGTTAAATTCCCAAGCTTTAATCCAATCCAATCCCATCCCCGTGGTTTGGTCCAACAGAAGCACCTATATTCGTGTGAGTGAGATATCTGCTGAGGGGCTGCAAAGTAGATTCTCTGCTTCTCGCATCGCATATCATTTATTTTATTTTTCGTTTCTTGCTTTACCCTTCATTTTTCAGCACCAGACTAGATAGCCAACCACCCGCAGGCTCCGCTAGATAGCGAGTGGCTGAAAAAGGAATTGCTGTATGTTGATGATGCTGCGCACACACCCGTTCGAGGTAATAACGCGGCTCGCTTCCCGCCCTTCTATGATACTTCTGCAGACTATGCTTTGCCATCACGCATACGGTCCCTAGTGCATAATAATAGCGCTTTTTGTGCCGCAGAGCATAGCACGAGGGCAATCTTGATGAAATTATCGAGAAGTCACTGGACACTGTCGTGAAAGAAAAAAAGGTGCCCAGAAGGATGTAACTTAGATAAGAGCAAGTTACACGAAGCAATGCTTGATATCCCATATAAAATATTATAGCAAACATTCGAGAGGGGAATTACTATTGGGCAGCTTGAATTTGACCTTGATGAACTCTCTCTCAGACAAAGGGTCATATTAAGGTTTGAAAAGTCTATCCGGTGCGGCTAAGGACCAGAGTCGTTCAAAGAACGAGTCGTCCGGTGGACCCTATTCTTCCATGTTCGAGAACTCGGTCACTGCGCTTCTGCTTGAAGGTGGACGGGGGGGGGGGGGGGGGGTGCAGACACTCAGATCGCAATGATTTGTAGAACTTGTATTCTTCTGCCGCCACAGTGGCGCATCAAGATGAAGAACTGGGGTGCCTTGTGGTGGGGAAATGGTCGTCATCAAATAAGCTAGACAGTCGATGTGAAGAATCCAGCAGATTTCATCTTTGCATTGGCTACTCTCAGAGGTACTACTTGCGACGAAGCAGACCCACACAAGGATAGACCAAGAGAAACGCAGTTACCACGGGAGCAGCAGGAGATTTGAGGGAGAGGATAAGGATTTTATCTTATCAAGCACGTAGTTAGTGCAAAGCATCGAATGAGAGGAAGAGAAAACCTTGGGTTGTTGAGCAGCGGGAAAGAAAGTTATCTAGTTACCATACAGAGTGCCCCGTCGTCGGATGGAAGAGAGCCTCGTCAATATACCATTGGCCATTATTTTGTTTTCTTTTGTTTTCCATTTTTTTTTATTTTATTTTATATTTTAATTTTAATTTATTTTTGTTCCTGGGAGTTTGTCGAAATTTGATGGGGATTGTTGGATTGACATGTGGTTTTGGTGTCTCAATCGACATCAGTGACTGAGCAAACTGAGATCCCCACGATGTTGCTCAGCATTTATTGTGCATTCAAGGAACAGAAACCTGTGAGAGATGAAAAATATAGTATGCAACCAGAGAACTGACAATCCCACCATATTGTATTTCATTTTGGCTCAGCAGCGCGCTGCGATACGACGGTACTCCCCAAGGAATTAATCTTACCGGCTCAGACAGCAAACGAGGGACGCACGAGGGAGAACCCAGCGATCCCACAAGTTGCAACTGAATGGGACTCAAGGAACTTGGCTCTTCAGGAGATTCGACTAGACGTCCTCAAATTTCAAAAATCGCCAAGATCCCAGCAGACAGCCAACTAAAAACCAAGCAGGCTAGAAGCGAACGAATCTGACCGCTCAACGCCTCTTGTGATCACCGCAGTAGTTGGACCTGCTAACAACGACCATTGGTGACAATCAATATCTAAGGTTCAAGGGACCAGAAAACTTGGTCCGGCAGTTTTAGTTGCTTTTTAGTCGTTGGTGCCCCGGGGACCTGACAGACTCTATTAGCGTAGTGGACCGTGGATCAACCGCCCCAACCAGAGAACAAAGAAATTCTCCCAGACTTCCCAACCCCCTTTTAGTTCCATTAGTGTTCAGTCAGTTGAGTTTTGGGTTTGCGCAGCGAGATTGGGCAACCCAACACACTGCTTGCACTGCTGATTGCTGTCCGAACCATAGATTCTAGAGCACTTGCACGCTTCTTGCATCCTCTCACCCTTTCCCTGAGTGAAATCCAACCAAAATTAATAATAAAAATAATAATTCTGCGCCCAACGATCTCTTCCCGCACTTCTTCGACATGAAAACATATATAACAGCCGTGTTGGTTTTGATATAACTGAATATTCGATATTACTCATCTCCCGGAAAGGTGATGGGAGGCAATTGTTGCCAACCAACCCGTGCAACCCATTCTCCTTTATTGATCAGCTTTCCGCCCTCGATACCCACGCCACCACCTGCAGCAGAGAAACCTTGATATACCAGCAGCGCAACTCGCAAGGACAGACATGCACAAGGGACCGACGACAACATCCAGTCCTCGGCTCTGCTGAATAACCAACGCCCCCCTTCCCCCCTTTCCCCTCCGGGCAGACACGCCCGGCAGCGCCTTCTCAAGGCCCAGCACTCACCTGCCGCGCTGCTGGTGTTGACCTCCACCTCCCCCCCAGGAACTTGGAAGGCGTCGCCCTCGAGAAAACCTCCTCCCGCGCCTTCCCCCCTTCTCGCCGTCGTCTCTCGGTCCCGATATCAATTGTTATTTCCATCGACCGATCTCTCTCTCGCGCTCTCCTCCCAACCTCTCATTCTATCTATCTATCAGCAAAAAACCACGAATGCCACCCGGTCCGGGCCATCCGGTCAACATTTCTTAACTCTCCAGAACTCTCCATATGCTCATTGTCCTCTGCGACACCTTTATGCATTAGCTCAAATTCTTCCCCTTTCATCAAACAGCTTCGCAGCATTCCTCGATGAGCAGCCTTTTCATTCAGAAAGGTTAGCAGATATTTTCAAAGTAATTCCATCCCTCCGCTTCCAGAGAGCCGTGATACCTGTCGCGGCATAAGGAAAATCGAAATCCGAGAACTTTCAAAACTATTTCAGGTGGTTGTCACAGCGCCTAAAATTACGAACAAATCAGAACTATCGCCATTACATTGCTTCCCGTGCAAACAAAGAACAAGAAAAAGAAAAAAAGAAAAAAGAATTCTTCCCTTCTCGCTTTCCCCTCCGCACAGAGAGAGAGAGAGAGAGAGAGAGAGTGTGTGTGTGTGTGTGTGTTCACTTGCAACACTCGACGATCATCATTCTCACCATGGCTTCATTCGAAAAGGATATCAAGGCCGGGGAGGCTGGCGAAGTTCCAGTCGCCGCTGCCAGACAAGAGCAACAAAATCTTCATGACGACCACGACTCTCCTACCGATCTGACCTTGTCCGACTGGACAGCGCACGAAGACAGCCATCTACCTTCACCTAATCCATGTTATCGCCCACCCGGGAGCCCGGCAAGCAGCGAGTTCGATCCCTCTCGGGGAGCAAAGCCATACTCCCCCTTCTACAAGCACCCAACAACCCGCACATCGCTAGAACAGTTGAGAAACGAGACTTCGCAGAGGCGCAGTGCAAGGTACAGAATGCATGATGTCGAGAACGGGTACCAGGCTGGCACAAGGCCATCAATGGATGGTCAGGGGAGCACTAGAGGCCTATGGGTGGATAGCAGGCAGAAGAATTCTAAATGGCTAGGAAGGCTTAACCGGAAGCAGAAATTTGCCGTCAAGGCATTGATTGCCGTCATCATTGTGGGCACCATGGTGGGAATAGGTTTGGGCATTTCAATTGCTCTTGGTGGAAGCGTCTGGAAATCAAGTTACCAGCAAGTGGAAATCCCAAGGCCGGGGTGAAGGCGGCGGCCGAAGTTGGAGAAAGGTGTGAATATTTTTCTGTGCACTGGCTGAGTCGCTTGTTGGTGATGCCATTCCCCACTCCCAAGAGACTCATACACCACATGAATTCAGCTGACGGATGTACAAAAGGGTAGGAATGATGCTATCTTTTTCTTCTCATCTTTTTAGGATACTTTGTCTCTCCCTCCCATGATTCCAGCCTGACTTGTTTTCTCTCACACTCGTTCGTGGTAACTTCTCATTGTCGTACCGATGATATAATCGTGACATTCAAAGCCTCGATGGACACAACAGCTCATCGTTGCTCCTATACCTCTGTGTAAACGGAACTGGCTGGGAGGAAATTTTTTAATAGGACACTGCAAATGGCGTTCAAGGCGTTCTTCTGTTGTGAAATGGGTGTCTGGAATCTGACATTGGCGTTTTTGCATATATGGCGGGAAATTGAAAGCCTCCATTTCCCATCAGCAGATGTGCGCTATTGTTATATTTTCATTATCATATATGTATATCCGGCGTTTTTGAGAATCAGTCGATCCTCAACACACCAAGGCGATCTTTTTATAGCTACATATAGAGATACCTAGCTAGAGACAGGAACAAACGGAGGCTTGACAATAATTAATTTTCATTTGATATAAACAAGGAAAGGTTTTTGACCATGAAAAGAGAAAAGAGAAAAAGAGAAAACCACTTCCCGAAGGTAATTAATTAATGTTGTAAAAACTGGCAAACCTCGGCAAATATATCTCACGCTCTGTACGGCAACGCTCCACAAATCACATGACCCACAACTTGCTACAAAACCGAGAACTTCTTCCAACTGCACACGTTTTTTTTTTTTTCTTTTAATTTCTCTCTCCATCAAAAAGTAAACAGAACCAGCCACGACCGTCGTTTTTAACAAAAGGCCTTTTATTAGGTCTCCCCACAGCGACGTGTTGCCATGAAGCCTCTCCGGAGGTTTCAGTGGTTCTGGAGACTAAGTCTACATCCTTGATAGGAAGTTTCTTTCCCGTTGACAATACGGGTCCTCTTTGGTGAGGGCGATGGGAAGGGAATGTCGATGATGGGATACATTTCGTTCTTTTACCTTCTGATGCAGGAGATGGATGTTTCTACCTGTGTTTTAACTTGCGATGGGTGTCACTGCCTGTCATCAGTTAATGAGGAAGAACGGCTTCCTGAGTCTAGCATATTTTTTCTCCTCACCTGCCCTCCTCTGTGAACCTCCTTTAATTATGTCCAACTGTGTATCTGGATGGCGTTCCTACAAATCTCACTAGTTATATTTATGAAATACACATACCTTTCTCTGAACAGTTCTGGAAGCATACTTCAACTTTATCTCTCTGTATTTCTATTTCATTTCTTGCTGAATTGCTGTACCTTGGCTTGCGTACGCAACCAAACCTTAGACCCATACCTCATCGACGTTATATGAGTGCATTCGGCTTTTGCAGTCCTGGTGTTTGACGGATGATTTTTGATGTGATACGACCAATACGGCTGGCTCCACCACCGGTTCTACCTCTTAACCAACCCGATGCTATCGATATCTTCATTCTCACTTTATTCCTTCTTTCGAATAATCATCAGAGTCATTACCTCCTCCGCCATTTCTTCTTCCGCTACGGTACCGATGATATAGATGGACGCATACCACGAATTTCTTCGGCGGTAAGGAGACCAAGATACTCACCAGCATCACGTTGAATTAAGATCCCCCCCCCCCCCCCCCTTCACCTTTGGCATCTATATCAGTCTATTAACCTCCCCCTCTCAAACAAGACACAGCATCTCTGTGAAGTCCAAGTTTCCGGATGGTAGATAAACCGTTGAGCGCATGCCATTTCGGGATGTTGCTGTAACCATTGTATGAAAAATGTGAACTGCATGTTCTAATAATAACAAAATTCTATTTACTAAAAGCGCTTTGCCAATGCCGGCCACAAATGGCGCACTTCAAACGATCGAAGACCATTCGCCGATGGCAATGAAAATCATTAGAGCAGTGCCGAACCGGGCGCGTCCTGCAATCAGTTGCGTTTTTTCTCCTCATTTACACTAACAATGGGCTCGCTAAGGACTGCGGCCCACGATCTTTATGCAAGTGTTATTGGTATCTTACTAAAATTAGATACTTGATTAGAACTACTTGATCGTCTCTGCCGCTGAATTATTATTGTTGCGTTGAGGGAGGAACGTAGCTCTTCCTATGAGGGGAAAATTTTATCCAGCAGTAACAACGGCTCTGTCATATTCACAGATTGCGGCGTTGACAAGTTGGACAGACAAAATAATGGCAAAAGGCAGCAGGAGAGCGGTTAGCCTGTACGATCTGGGAGAGAGGTCGTTGATGGTCATATCTTCGACCATGCTTTCATCCATAGTTTTGCTGAGAGGCCTCAAGCTCGTCTGTCAGGTGGTGAAGGTGTTATTGAGAGAGGTTGCAGTTCAGGTCCACTTCTTCATTTCATGCCCTCTGATGATTTCACTTGTACAATTCATGCGTCTCCTGGTTGATCATATGTGGACAAACACAAATGGCTCAATAGAGTCGACTCACAGGACCTGCTTCTGGGAAATTTTCCTTGAGTAAACACTGTACAGCGCGGGCTATGTTACTTGCTCTCGAAAACACAAAATAAGTAGTCGCCAAGTAATATCGACCTTCGGAGCGTCAGAAGGAGAGAATAAACTGTTTGCAGCTTGAGAGTGTCCACGATAGCTTCTCAGAAGCTGTCAAACAAGTGACTTGACAAAACTATTGGTTGCACGCAGCAAGGATATAGCGTCAGCAGAGATGTTAATCTGCATAAATCGTGCATTGAAAGCGCAACAACAGAAGCAGGATAAATGCATCTGAACCAGTGATGTGTTCAAATAAGTGGCCATGAAGAATTAAGGGAGGAGATAGACTTTATTTGCGTTATTTTGCATCCACCCCCACGCGGATATGTAACAAGGGTATGACTGTTTCTGGAAAACAGCCTGGGGATTCGCAACATGTGTCTGTCATATGTTCTTTGTTCGCTTGCATTATAACTACTTGGAGTTCAGGGATATGATAAAATACAGAGCAGGAAGTGCATGAAGCTTGGATGAGCAGGGCGTTTAACACGCCGTCAACCAGCTCTCCTCCGATTAAGTATTCGAGGATGCAATTTTGACCTGAGTTTTAGTTAAGAGTGGCAGGGTGGAAAGTACGCGCTGGGTTGTTGATGCGCCTCCATGCACACGGCGAGAGTAACATTTGTGTGTCATTCATAGCCTGTTCACGGATTTTTGTTGCCAGAGCAGCTGGATGGGGCCCTGGAGAAGGAAAGTAGGCTCCTGGAGATTTCTGGGGAAGCCAGGCGGCTTCTAAGGAAGAGGGCATAGTATTTGACGCCAGGGGACTTTTGAATAACTGCCTCTCCATGTATTTAGGGCTGTGGTTGGGTTATTTAGGATAGAAGGTGAATATCTGAGAGATTGGGAGAGATGCAATCGCAATGTGGAGCATAAATTGACAGTCTAAATAGAAATAAACGAGCAGTTTTTCCGCATTCTTGGGCGGAATTTTCCGAAGATATAGAGACGGCTTGATCACTATCCATTCAGCTGCCGTATATTATTAGACGTCAATATCCAAAGAGATGAAACAGATTCTTAGCATGGTTTCAGGATGTTTATTTTCAAGCTACTTCCTGACGAACTCAGGAAGGGGAGAGATGTGATTGGTTCTAGAGAACCGTATGTGTCATCGCCTGCATTCTCAAAATAAATAAACGGCCCGTCATGAAGAGCCATAACTGACTCAAATTAAAGTCGGCATTATTCGAACAGCAGAAGTGCCACTCCCTCAAAGCTTTTCATGCTAATCCATTATTGGTTGAAGAAAGTCATTTATCAAATTTTTCTTCAGGCATGAAACGCTTGTTTTATCTCTCTTAAACGCAACAATGAATCGGACAAGCAAAAAACGC